ATAGGGGGACATGTGCCCCCCCCCCCCCGATTTCTGCACAGGGTGGATGTGGGCTGCTCACTGTGGGCTCAGGGCTCTGCTCTGCTGCCTTTCTCTTGCTGGCTGTGCACCCTCTGTCCACCCAGCAGAAGGGGGCACAGCAAGCTATGCCTCCCACTGCTGGGCTGGCAGGTGGTGCACAACCAGGGCAGGGATCCCTGGGCAAAGGCAGCAGAGCAGAGAGCCCTGAGCCCACAGCAGACAGCCCTCATCCACACTCATCCTGTTCAGCTCTGCTCCACTTAGAAGCATCCCCATGCTTAAAAATGGTGGCGGCGGCACTTGAACTAAAGCTCATTCAATGAGCTTTAGTTCAAGCTCCCCCCAGCCGTCATTTTTAAGCACTGGGATGCTGATGCATGTGATGCAGGAGGCTGCTGGAGCGTGCAAAAAAGAAAAGGTTTATGTCAGTACTTCAAAACGCCTTGCATTTTTAAATAAATTGGTTAGTGCATTGGCATCAGCTGATATGGTCAGTTAATAACTGGCTATCTGTATTAGCCAAGAAAATCTTTATTGGTGCACCCCTATTTGATGCACTGCTCAGGAAGGACAGGCATGGGAGAAGAGGAGCAGGAGTTGCACTTTATGTAAAAGAGCCATATGACCTGCTCAGAGCTCCAGTATGAAACTGGAGATAGGCCTGTGCCCGTTGAAAGTCTCTGGGTTAGGGTCAGAGGGGAGATCAACATGGGTGATGTTGTGTTGGGGCTCTGCTATACACCAGACCAGGAGGAAATGGTAGATGAGGCATTCTTCAAACAGCTAGTGGAAGTTTCCTGATCACAGGTTTTGTTTTCACAGGGGACTTCAATCACCCTGACATCTGCTGGGAGGGCAATACGGCAGCGCACAGGCAATCCAGGAATTTTTTGGAGAGCGTAGGGGACAATTTCCTGGTGCAAGTGCTGGATTGGCCAACTAAGGGCCATGCTCTTCTTGATCTGCTGCTCACAAACAGGAAAGAATTGGTGGGGAATGTAGAAGTGGATGTAGCAACTTGGGCAGCAGTGACCACAAGAGGTTTGAGTTCAGGATCCTGAGAAAAAGGATGGAAAACAGCAGACTTAGTAAGGACCATGGGTTTCAAAAAAGCAGACTTCAATTCGTTTATGGAACTCATGGGCAGGATCCCTTGGGAAGGCAGTCAGAGGGGTAGGCGAGTCCAGGAGAGCTGGCTGTACTCTAAAGAAGCCTTACTGAGAGTGCAGGAGGAACAAACCATCCCTATGTGCCCAGAGACTAGTAAGCATGACAGAAGACAAGCTTGGCTTAGCAGGGAACTCTTTAGTAAACTAACACACAAAAAGGAAGCTTATAAGTAGAAACTTGGACAAACAACTAGGGAAGACTATAAGAACATTGCTCCAGCACACAGTTATGAATTAAGGAAGGCCAAAGTACAATTGGAATTGCAGCTAGCAAGAGATGTGAAGGGCAACAAAAAGGGTTTTTTTACAAATATGTCAATAACAAGAGGAAGATCAGGGAAAGTGTGGGTCCCATACTGAATAGGGGGGGCAAACTAATGACAGAGGATACAGAAAAGGCTGAAGTATTCAATGCCTTTTTCACCTCAGCCTTCACAGACAAGGTCAGCTCCCAGACTACGGCACTGGACAGTACAGTTTGGGGGGGAGGGGAATAGCCAACAGTGGTGAAAGAACAAGTCACAGATTATTTAGAAAAGCAGGACATATACAAGTCCATGGAGCCAGATGGGAGGTACCCGAGGGTGCTGAGGGAGTTGGCTGATGTGACTGCAGAGCTGCTGGCCCTCATCTTTGAAAACTCATGGTAAATCAGGAGAGGTTGTGAATGACTGAAAATGGGAAAACAGTGCCCATATTTAAGAAAGGGAAAAAAGGAAGATTCAGGGAACTACAGATTGGTCATCCTCACCTCAGTCCCTGGAAAAATCATGAAGCAGATCCTCAAGAAATCCAATTCTAAGCACTTGGAGGAGAAAAAAGGTGATAAGGAACAGTCAACATGGAGTCACCAAGGACAAGGCATGCCTGATCAACCCGACTGCCTTCTGTGATGAGATTACTAGCTCTGTGGATGCAGGGAGACCAGTGGATGTGGTATACCTTGATTTTAGCAAGGTTTTTGATATGGTCTCCCACAACATTCTCGCAGGCAAGCTAAGGAAGTATGGGATGAATAAATGGACTGTAAGATGGAGAGAAAACTGGTTGGAGCATCAGGCTCAAAGCTTAATAAGCAATGGCTCTATGTCTAGTCGGCAGCCAGTTCAACAAGGACAAGTGCAGTGCTTAGCGTGGAAGAATCCCACGCATCGGTATAGGCTGGGGACTGACTGGCTGGGCAGCAGCTTTGCAGAAAAGGACCTGGGGGTTACAGTAGACAATAAGC